GGGGCTCGTCACAGTGCGCTCTGTCCCCGTCCCGGCGGCTGGGGCGAGCGGGCGCAGGGCGCGGAGCGCGCGCCATCAGGCACCGCCCCGCGGAGGAGCCCGCGGAGGCCCCACGCACCCCCCACGCACCCACGCTTGCCTGGAAGCCGGGGAGCCCCAGGGAGCGGGCCGGGGGCGCGCCTGGCTGACAGAACAGGCGGCGCACCGGCTGGCCCTTGCGCTCAGACCCGCCCGTCGTGGGCAGGACGCGTGGCCGGACTGGGAGCAGGGCAGGGCGGGCTCCGTGAGCGGCAGGCTCCACCACCCTGGCCACCGCACATGAAGGGCACACGGTGACAGAGAAGCCGCCATCCCCCCGATGGCGTGGGAAGAAAGCAGGCAGCGAAAGAAAGGCTAAAGGTTTCATAAATACCTCCTGGCACGCGCTGCCATCTGCAGAGCGACAGACTGGAAGGGTTCTCCCCCAAAGCCGGGTCTGGCTGAGTCTGGGGGGGAAACTGAGGCGGGGCAGGGGGGAGGGAAGGGTAGACTCTCCTTCTCCAGAGCAGCGCCTGTCTGAGCCTCACTGGAGTCATTTAAAGATGCAGACACTGACGGGAACTGGGAGACGGGAGGCTGTGAGGCACTGTCGGGTCCTCAGAAGCCGCCTGCCCGCCTCGGGTCCGAGAGAACGCACCGCCTCTGCTCCGGAGCTGGCGCCCCTGCGGCGCGGGGCCCCGCCCACAGCGCTCTCGCCCCGGACCCTCCGCGAGATGCCAAGGAACCGACCTGCTTAATAACACTCGTCGGGTTTTCAAAGTCTGAAAAGGCCAAGAATCCTTCTCAATCTGAGCACAGCTCTAGTCTTTGTAGCCTTAAAATAGCATGTGACAAATCACAGAGCATTTCAATTCATGATTGTCTCACTATTCTTACGTGTCTTAGGGCAGAATGTGTTAACTTAGGGAGACTAGTTTGGGGAATTATGTCCCTAAGATTTAACACTTTGGAAAGAGGGCTTATTTTGTTCTAAATTTTTCATCAAATGAGAGGTCCTTCTTGCTCCCAGTACCAAACAGGGAGATGTTTTCTATGCCTTCAAACTGCACCTTTTAAAGGTTTTAAAGCCTATTTGGAGAAAGCAAGTTAAACTAACTTGACAAGATAGTTTCTCCTTGTTCCCAAAATTTAAAATTTGGATCAAACCCAATGAATAAATGCACCGATGTAGAGTTATTTCCCGGGCGGCCACAGCAGGGCACAGTGGAAACCAACACAGCACAGGCCAAGGTCCACGTAAGGGCTCCCAGGACTAGACAGATGGACACTGTACGTCTGGGGCTCAGGGGACATCAGGGAAACCAGGGAGGGCTGAAAGGATTAGACAGAAACCAGACAGCTGAGGAGAGCTGGAGTCAAACTCCACAAACATAGCACCTCAGCTAAGAACATCAGACAAGGCAGGGATGGGTCAATGGGAGGGGCCGATGAGGTGGCACGTGGATGATCACAGCCAGCAGTAACCAAGCAACCAGTGAATCTGGCACCTGCCCGTGTTCCTGTAGGCTTGGCTGTTCTTGCAAACTGTGCGTGTGCTGGGGTGAGGGCGATGCTGACTGTTAGGAAGAGGAACCGCAGGCCAGCAGAGACTCTGCATGGATCACATCAGTGTGCGGGGGCAGGTGCGCTCAGGGATGCCGGGTGCTGCCTCATCTGCTTCTCCAAGAGCTTTTTTGGCAATCCTGAAGACAGTGAGTGACGATTCCAGTTTGATAGTCTATCTTGAAATAGATGTCTAAGGAAGTCTTGGTCACCCAACCCTTTTATCCAATGTAATGAGAATACTTTTCCAATTCTCTGTGAGGCAAGCAGCCAACTTCCTGATGAGTGTGATCGGTAAATGGGCTTTGGAGACCACACTCTGCATCGGCTTCTGCCCAAACTTCTCAGAGCTAGAGGGGAAACGTGCCCCTCAGCTCCCCGTCCATGGGTGAGCGCACAAGGCCTGGGGCCTCCGCCACCTTGTTCGCAGCATCTGCTTCTCACTGAACCTGCTGCCCTGAAGACGGCTCCCCGCTGGAGTGCTCCTTCCATACTTCCTCTCCCCAACACCAACGTCTCCTCTTTGCATCTGCCTGTCCAGCTGCCTTTCATTAAAGTGAGTCCTGCCCCCCACACACCAGATGAGACCCACCAATGGGGGTGCAGGTGGCTCCCCATCAATACGTGTTCCCTCCCACACCCCCCAGCACTCCCACACCCAGCCTGCTCCCCATAACCTATGGTTCCATCCACCAGACCATGGTTTCCAGGTAATGAGCTGTGACCCTGAACAGCTGATGAGTTTGTCAGAACACAGAACAGAAGTAGACACAGCAGAAACAGAAATCAGGATGCAAGACCGCAGGGCCCACATTGCTTCAGGGAACGTGTTTCAGATACACAGGTGTTTGCTTGTGTCCTGGGTCTCCATGCAAAGCGCACTACATGCTGTGCTGTCGACCAAATGCAATACTGCTGTTCTCCACCAGCCTCACCCCTGCCCCTGGCTGCTGGCCCCACTGCCCGGGCTCCCTGCCTCATGCAGCTGGAGCTCGGATCAGACGGCCAGCTGTCTTCCCAGCCTTGGCCTTTTACAGTGATCCACAAGCTTCTTCTCAGGCAGCCACAGGACTACCTTCTCCTTGAATAGACCAATGTTCTATGCAAAAAACAAAAGCTTTGCTATTCCTGACTCCTTTCCAGGTCTGGAAACCGCCTGGAGCACACCCACCTCTCTCTCTATGAACGCCGCAGAGCAGGAGGGCTCAGTTTCTCTGTGAGCTAACTTTCACCTCCAACCAGAAAAACAAAACAAAAACACCAGCAAAGTCACTCTGGAAACACCTCAGATTTCCTTACAAAACTCAGCTCCCCTGCCTGACGCAATGGGTTCTCAGTGTGACACCTGGAGCCTGGCACCCACGCCAAGTGAAGGGAGCGCATCCCCAAAGTGGAGTCAACACCGGTCTCCCATCCTGGAGAACAGAAGGGCTCTCCACCTCCACGCTGCCCTCTCTCCCTCTCACAAGGTGGACAGGAAGAGGGACAGCACAGCCAGGTGAGCCTGTGGCCTGGCAGCCTCCTTGCCTTTCCTGAGGACGAGGGTACAGGCTGTCCAGCACAACTCCAGCCCCCGCCCTGCCCTCCCTCGTCCAATCTCCCACAGTTCTCTCTCAGAAAATATATTATATTCCTCTACAGAAAAACAAGTTTTCTGTGTCTTCTTGTAGACTGTTCAGCCAAGCTGAACTATCGGGGCAAAGTGAACCCTTTGTAGGATAGGGGACAGTCATTTAAGAAGAGGGTGTGGGGAGATGCTGGGGTCTGAAAGTTCCTTAGGAAGTTGGCTGCTCAGTTTCCCCTCCAGGGAAGGCTGGCTTGGGGAGCAGGTGGGCAGGTCTAGCTAGAACTGCAGGATGGCTGGCTAGGTCACACCAGAGCACCAGCCCCACACTGCAGGGGGCTCCTTCACCACCACCTCTGATCCTCTGGTCATCAAGAGGGCCACCCTCTGTCCTCTCCCAAGTCACATTTGCTCCTTCCCACCCCTTTGCTAGGACTGCTCCTAATCAATCAGAAGTCTGAGCGAGAGTTCTGACAGCTCCCTGCTCAAAAGGTCTCCATTTGCCTTGGTGATCGAAGGACTCTCTCAATTCCAGGAAACGAAGGAAAAAGCAGGCCAACTCCAGCATCCAGACTCCAGGGTGGATTCACGAAACCCACTGCTTTGGAGTTTGCTAAAGTTTCAGCCTCATGACCAGTGCCATTCCTGAGCACCTCCGAGTGTACAGCCGTAGTTAAAACAAGCCAGCGTCCTTTACAATATGGTGAAGGCAACTCGAAGTGAGAGGAGTGTGAATAACTGACGGCTGAGCAGCTGGGGCAGGACCGCCACCCAGACAGGTCAGAAGCATGCCATGCCACACAGAGCAGTCAGACTGGAGAGAGGGAACACGGCCAGGGGAGCTGCAGGGCTAGAAACAAGTACCTCAGCACTCAGTTGTAGCAGATACACTGAATCCACGGTCCTCTAGGCACTGGTTCCCGTTTTCTAGCGGCAGGAATACACGCCTCTCCTTTGGTTTTACCCATACAACTTAAGGGCAAGACGGGAAAATCTCTTCACACACAGCACCCTTAAAAGACAAACAGTTTTCTGCATATACTGTGACTACCTACTCAAGAAGGAAACTGCATTCTGACCCATGCTGTGTGCCCACCAGGCCACATGCCACTTAAACACACAAGCCCAAGACCCATTGTCCTCAACCCCATGTGTGGCTGAGTAGAGTCCCCTGAAATTGACAGCGCTCTTCCTACTTCCCAGGGAAACTCCTAAGGGCCACACAGTTTCCTGCCTTGTCCCTCCACAGGGATCCGAGCCATTCACACACTCACAAACCACTCTTGAACCATTTTATAATTTCACATGCAAATATGCTTACACGGACGCTCAGGTGTGTGCAGCTGAGACAACACCAGCCAGCACGGAGGCGTTCCGGTGAACTTGGGCAACCCCAAGTTCTGCGGAAGTGGACCCGCGGTCCTGGGGCAGCAGGGAAAGGAAGGCTGGCATTCCGGATCTATAAACTGAGGTGCTGAGTTTAACCAACCTGCCCTGGTGCAAAGGAAGGACTGCGAACAGAAACCCTGTGAACAGTAGCTTCTTGTTTTCTAATTTGGGGAGGAGCATGGGGACCGAAGGAGGGCACTTACCCACTTGATGCGCCTGTGTGCCAGCCTCCCGCAAGGCTTTCCCTGATGCCCAAAGCGACCGCCCCTGCATCAGAGACCGGGAGCACCCAGACCCCCCAGAGAAGAGACACGCGGAGACCCTGGGTGGCGCGCCGGGACCCCACCGGAGCGGCCCTCGGGGATGCTGCTCCGCCGCTCGCACCTGCTGGAGCCACCGCCCCGCGCTCCAGACCCGGGCCTCCGGAGCCCTGGCCGCCCTCCCCCAGCCCTGCAAACCACGTCACCTGTGCCGAGTCCCAGCCACTCTGCTGCGCGCGGCCGGCCGGGTTCCAGGCGCCTGGAGTGCAGCCCGGCCTGAAGGCTGGCGCCGGCCACGACGGGCCCCGCCCCTCCCCCCCAGATGTTCCACGGAGCCTGGGCGGAGCTTTCTGAGGTGCAGCTGCCACTGCTGCCTCCCAGGCTTAAGACTCCAGTTACCGCAGCACGGCTCCTTAAAGGGGCCTTAGCCCTGCGCTCCACTTCCTCCCCAGCACCTACCCCGGCGGCCAGAGTGGGCGGGGCCGACCTTCCTGGACTGGAACCTGGGTCCCCAGAAGGGCTCACAAGCAGGACTCACGGAAAAGGGCTGTCCACTGTCTCCCGGCCAGAGGAGTAACCGAGCAGTCAGTGGGGACTGGTCCCGTCCACTTCGCAGCGGGCAGTACCTGGACGCGCCACGTCACCAAAATCCGTTCAGTTTACAAGTTTACATTCTGCCTTAAATGCCCAAATTCTGCCCCAATGAAGGGTAAGGTTTCATCATCAGAAAGCAGGGGGCAGCCCGGTGATTAATTTTCCCGCCACGTATGACTTGGGGCTCTGGCCTGGGTTGGCAGGTGTGTGGACCCCAGATCGGGTGTGTGCCACCGCCGGGTCTCCTCCCAGAAAGCACCCTCCAGCACCCTCCAGCCACACCGAGTCCCAGGAGAAGGCTGAGTAGGAATTTGTGCTGAGGGCTTGGAATTCCAAGTTGCCTGGTGCCCAAAGGTTGCCATTAAAGTGGCTCTCCTGACCTGCTAAATGCACGCTCTGAAACTCCCAGTGTTCCGGGTCAACAGATGGGGCTGCTCCGAATAAAGGCTGTGCTAAATCGCAAAAACAATTACAAACCCTTCTCTGAAAGAGGTAAGTTCCAGTGTAATTAGTAAACACCACCATTCATAACATAGGACAGTTATTTGTAGGAAACGTCTGCCGATACAGCTAATGTGTTTACCTAGCGCGCACATACATGTACGCAAACACACACACTTTACTAACCGAACCTCACTGGGCTCCATTTCTTCACCGTAAAAGAGGGGTGCTGATGCAGTTACCTCCGCAGACCCCAGTCTTGGCAAATGGACCGCAGCCTGACATAGAAAACACAACACCGACCCCACCCTGCAAGAACAGAAAGCAGCCTGCACTCCCCAGGAAGATCCCACAGGCGTTCCCAGTGCCTGCCCATGTTCTCCCCAAGATCTCAGGACACAGCAGGGCCCCCGTGTCCTTTCCCCTGTCCCATCAGAGCTGCTTCACAATGTGCAGAGACCGTGACCACTTTAGTCTGCCCCACACTGCCTCACCCATTCACGTAGCTACTTCGTAACTCTCCGTGGGCAGGGTGGTTGTACACGCACGCCTATCTGTGGGTCGGCCCTGCATGTGACCTCAGGACTCTGCATGGCTATCTCCTCCAGACTCGCTCTGTGCTTGCCTTGGAGCAGACAGAGCTGTGACTCCCCGATTGCACCGTCATTATCTGATGTGCATGTTCTCTAACATGCACAGTGTGGCCAAAGCCAAGCAAACCCACAGAAATCCCCTCACCCTCCGACCCACTGTACTTCTTCAGGCTGGGCCTCCAGAAGTGCATCATCAAAGCCTCAGATTATACAGAGCATGTAAGTGATTACATCAAGGACAAGACCTGAGAGATAGGAAAGGAATTCGGTAAATAATAGTTGAATTTTGAAACTTTTAAATTAATCAAAACTCAATGACCTTTGGAGGTAGAAGAATATATCAACTGCATTTTTCCCCTCAATATTTTAATGCAGCCTAATTTCTTTAAAAATATCCATTTCATTATTCACATTTTAAATATTTTAATTATCCTTAACTTTCTTTTTACTAATACTCCCTTTCCAAGGACAGTTCCCCTGTGTTTACTATCTGAAGATTTTCTGCATTTTAAATGTAAGGTATCAAAATGAACTGCACTTTTCATATTTTTGGTTCACAAAAACAGTTCCCAGAAAATGAAATTATTTTGTCCATACTTAAAAAGAGAAAAAATATAAAAATTCTTTTGAGGCAAATTCTTCTGATAAATTTGTTTCCACAAATTCCTAAACTTCTAAACAGAGCCAATCATTTCGAAAACTGAGACCAAAGCTACTTCTTTCTGAAACAAGATAATTAAAGCAAAGTCTTCTGAAAAACTGACTCAATTCTCCATTGTTCTCTGTTAGGGAAGATATCATCAAAACGACACAAAACATTTTTGTTGTTGTTGTTGTTAATCTTCACCCAAGGATATTTTTCCATTGATTTTTGGAGAGAGTAGAAGGGAGAAAGGGAGGGGAAAGAGAAATAAAATCACCAATGGGAGAGAGACCCAACAGTTGGTTACCTGCTCCACATTTTTGCCCTCCAGTAAGTAACAGTTCTGAAAAATTACCCATTGCCATCTCTTTTCAAAATATGTCTGTTGCCCTGGCCGGTTTGGCTCAGCGGTTAGAACGTCAGCCTGCAGTCCGGAGAGACCCGTGTTCGGTTCCCGCTAAGGGCATGTACCTCAGTTGCAGTTTGTCCCCGGCCCTGGTTAGGTTTGTGCAGGTGGCAACCACTCAATGTGTCCCTTTCACGTCGATGTTTCTCTCTCTCTCCTTCCACTCTATCTGAACAAAGAATGGAAAAATGTCCCCTGGTGAGGAGAAAAAAAAAATTAAAAGCAAAATATGTCTGTTATATGTTGCAATGTACTGAGACAGTTTTTATTTCAAAAAGAAGACAACCTAGTTTTATTTTTAAGAACCATCTGGTGGAGATTTATCTTCCACAAGGACAGGTATGCTTCTATTCTAGGGTTTCAAAGTTCTCCTTGCTAGAAAATACCAGGTAAAAAATAATTTCTGAAAGACTATTACAATTAAATGTCTTCAAACTTTGTCAAATAAATATATTCTGTAATAAACTGTGGAGTACCTCAAAATGCTAATATAATGTTTAATAGCCAAAAACTAGGTAGAAATGGATTGTGGGGTAAGGAAAATGTTAACTAACGATCAATGCTATATATGCAGATTATATTAAAACTATATTAAAATGGGAAGACCATCAGGATAAGAACATTTAATTAAATTTATGTAGTCTTCCTCCAACCAAATACAAATCCAGCATTTCCACAAAAAAATTATATACCAAATTAAAATAAAATGTCAAAACTTTCTGGCATGACGATTACTTCCGTAGCTGTGCATGGGAAACTCACTGGTCCTTGCACCACTTGGAGAGATGCTGCAGTCTTGAGAATCTGACCTGGGCAATACCTAGTGTGCAGATGAAATACTTTCCGCACGCTTCTCTGTCTCTGCATGGCTACACGGTTCCCCACGCCACAGCAAGGGCAGGAGTTACCTTTGACTGTGTTCTTGCCCCACAGAAGCACTCAGGGTTGTGCCAGACACCGCCTCCAGCTCGTCTTCTTTGCCAGTCTTGCTCCCACACGTGTCCGTCCAAAGTTCAGCGTTGCGGGCAGGTGTCTCATTATGGAAGCCCGGTAGAAGAGGCAACACTATGGCCTATCAGAGGCACAGCTGAGAGCCCCACAACCTCATCCAGAGAGCTCGATCACTGACCATAACGGACTTTCCGTTGCTTGGGACGAGGTTTCTGTCTCACACACCTTTGCACCTTGGCTGCACCCTGCGAGGTCGGTGCGTGTTCTCCTCACACGTATTTTTCCCATTCTTCCCAGCTTGTAAGAGAACTCATTCAGGAGCTCGAGGGTCTGTGGCCAGGGGAGAATCTTAACTGATAACCTAACATTCTAAAGAGGAAAAGGGAAAAGAATGATGTTTCCCCACATTTTTTATCCTGAGCTATGATTACCTGCAGTTAATACAAGGGAAGCAAGTGACTGGAAGAACCGCTTTGCCTTCCTCCCAGACCCCAACAGAGGAGCTGCCTGCTCCTTTGTACAGAAGGACTTGCAGAACACACTGTAAAAACTATCTGGATTTGGACCTCGCTGGGTTGCTCAGTTGGCTGGGGCGTCGTCCCGTACACCAAAAGGTTGCAGGTTTGATCCCCAGTCAGGGTGCATACAGGAGGCAACCAATGGATGTTTCTCTCCCCCTTCCTCTCTCTAAAGTCATTAAAAAATATCCTCGGTTGAGGATTAAAAAAAAAAACAACACAAAAATCAAGCGACTATTGGATTTGGCTTTTAACAGTTATGCACACAGGACTCTACTGGTACAGAAAGGAAAGTAGGCCCCTCGGTATCAACAGGGAGGCGAAGGGAACACATGTCACTCACTTTGCCTTAATCCAAATCATTAACTCTTTCAACAAAGAATGAAAGTTGTAAGAGCATCATGGGAAACTTCTGAAACCAATGCATAAATTCTGATTGATGGCCATACGAGACATTCTTGGAAAATAATTAACTATTGCCAATGGCTACACACACCAAGTGCCTAGATTCAACATTTGCTATGTTGATTGGGGGCGGGGGGCAGAAAGCAAGTACAACAGCCCCTCATCCGTGGTGTCCTGTCTCCGTTTCAGTCTCCCGCAGTCCCTGGTGGTTCAAAACGACTGAGTAAAAGATTCCAGAACTAAACATTCATAAGTTGTAAATCACACGTCATTCTGAGTAGCCTGATGAAACCCGTGATGTCCTGCTCTGTCCACTCAGGACAAGTCTTCCCTTTCTCCAGCATCGCTACTGGATACACTACCCGCCCCTTAGTCACTGAGTCTTGGTTATCAGGTCGACTGCCGACGTAATACAGTGCTATGTTCAAGTGACCCTTATTTTATTAATAATGTCCCATTTACTTCACTACGTAGGCATCGTATCATCTCACATCATCACAAGAAGGCTGAGTCCAGTACAGTAAAATATTTTGAGAGAAATCACGTTCCCATAACTTTTATCACAGTATATTGTTATAACTTCTATTTTACCATTAGTTATTGTTACTCTCTTACTGTGCCTAATTTATAAATTAAACTTTATCATAGGTGTGTACATATAGGAAACAAACATAGTGCATATAGGGTTCGATACTGTCTGACGCAGCCACTGGGGATCTGCCTCATGAAT